CAGGGGGGCTAGCTAAGTTGGAGCAGCTAGGCCTGCGGCGGCCAACTCTGCCTCCGGGCGCGCGCACGGTGAACTCAGCCTGGAGGTTCAGCTCCCGCCTCAGCCTCGCACCTGCCAGACGGTCGCCGAGGGCCGCGGTTTAGGCGAGAGTGCTTGGAAAAAGCCAAATACACTTGAGTTTTATGAAAACGTAGAACCCGTCATAAGAAATCCTAATGTACCCTGAAATCTTAAAAAAGTTCCGAGGACTAGAAAATGTGAAATATTTCTATTCTTGGAAAAATGGGAGAAAAGCAGTTTTTTAAACAAAGCATAAAAATCTTGGGAAATGTTTTCTCGAAGGTATGTGTTTGTTGCTGAAGTCCTTTCACACTTTAGAAGGGCTTGGTTTTGGAGGGTGGATGTGGGGAGGGTGAGCTAAGCATAAAGGACTAGCCTCTGTCCTCAATCATTGATTTCAAAATTTGGACACCAATTCTCTGAACTTTTAGCTATGTGGAATTAACTAACTGTTGCTTTCTATATTTTTATGCTCTTAAAAATATGAAGCATGGTTACAGTGGTCAAAATGAAACCAAGCCCCCCACCCAAAAAGAAAAGTGGTGTAATTAGAACCAGCTTCTGGCTCATATATCCTCAAGCAACATCTGTACCCAGCTTCTTGAAGAAAATTGGGATTATTAAAAAAACACCAGAAACATCTGGATTATCAACTAGCAGCAGACTGGCTGTTAGGTAGAGAGAGCAGAAGCTGAGGAGAATCTGGAGATGTTTTCTCTAACTGGATTGTTAAGGAAAAAAAAAAAAAGAAAGCTCTTTTCTGAGTAACTAAAGCTGAGTTCTGAAGCAAGTGGGAACTACAACACAGGAATTAACTCCTGTCTCTTTTTAAAAGCATATATTTAGACATTTCAAATGGAACATTTAGGATTTCATTTATACCAATAATGAATAATAATTTACTTTTGATTATTCTGGGAATATGTAATTTTTTTTAGTACAGCTGGAAAGTGTGATCACATAGTAGCACTTGTCTGATAAATGATAATGGGTATTAGTCAATGTATAAAAATTGCTTTTATAAGCTCTTAAGGTTTCTTGCTTATAGAAAATATTGTAGTGAGAAAAAATGAAATTGTATTTTTTAAATAAGGAATAGATATACATGTGGACACCTGTAATCAGGAGGATTGTTTTAAGTTCAAGACCAGCCTAGGGTACATAGTGAGTTCAAGGCCATCATGGATATGTATTAAGACCCTGTCTCAGCTCCCCCTAATAGATGTACATGTGTTATAATTTTCATGAAATAAACTACTTTTTGCTGAATAAAGTACAAATTATTGTAATTTAGTAATGTAGTACAGTTATAGAACTGATTTTTAGAAGTCTTAAGCACAGAAACAATTTTGATGTATTACTACTCTGCCTCATATGAACATGAAAAATACAAAACCCAAAAAATAAAAGTCTATCTAAGTTTTGTGTTTTTTCCATGATGACTACTTCAGTTGGTTTTGCTGAAATATTGAAATGTTTGGGGAATTTTTTTTTTAATTCTGCTTTTGCTGGTGGTCTAAAAGGGATGCTTACTCTGCCTATTGCATAAACCAGAACTGGCAGCGCAGAGGCCATAGTTTTGCTCAGAGTGTAAGTGAGCATTACAAAACACCACCAAAGACAGTATCATATTTGTTGTTTGCTCACTGGAGTAGATTTAAGAGTTGTCTGCCCTCAGTAAGGTTATATTCTAACATGGTGTGCAGGAAAGGTTCACAGTTAAATACAGTACTTTATTACATTGATAGTAGTGGTTTCTCTTTTAACCACTCAACTATTGAAAGAAAGCCTTTAAATTTGTCTTCGGCAGTTCGCAGTCATTTTAAAGGACTTGCAGAATATGTTAGTCAAATTATTTTGTGTTTTTCTCCCATTGACTCTATGTGCACAGTTTCTAAATGAGTAACTTTAGGAAATGTGTATGAGGTAATTACAATTTATAACCAGGTCCCAAACTTGATCTCTTGTATTTATAGATAAACAGGTGAGAAATGACGAGCTCCCTCAGTGGGCCTTTGCTTTATACTTGTGTTTTTGGCATTTTATTTCTGAGATTTAGCAGGATTTTTCATATGGCTGCTCACACCACTTACAGAAGTCATTTTGTAAAGTAAGAAAAATAAATGCCCACTAGTAACTCAAAAGCTTAAATATAATAGCAACAATTACTGTTTACATCTTAGTACATGGTTATAGAATGGTACATTATTTAATCTTTACAACTCTGTGTGGTAAATGTGATAATCATTTTTTTCAAATGAAGAAATTAAACTTGGTAAGGATTGAGATTTAAAGTCAGCAGGTAGTGGAAAAACTTAAATCTTAAAGCCTCAAATTTTATCCCCTTTTCATTGTTTAATAAGAGTCCATGATCAGCACTAGACTCTTAACCATTAAATCATTAGGTGAAATAATGATCACTTAAATTTGGATCTAGATCAGTAGTAGCATTAATGTTCTCATGAATTTTATTATAGTCAAGAAGTGTTGCTTTTTTAGAAATGATTATCTCAATCAAAGGATCAAAGTTAATACCCTCAGTAATAAATCATGTTGATAACATGTAGCCCTGATATGACAGAATGATGACACATCACCTTTGTAGTAGTTGTCCTCAAAAATCCATAAAGTCAGTATAATATTAGGCAAACCCAAGTTGAAGGACATTCTGTAGACTTCCTGACTTTTCAAAGCTGGCAATACTGAGACACCAGCCAGGTGTGGAGTGTAATACCAGCACTTGGGAGACTGATGCAGGAGGATCACCATGGGTTTGAGACCAGCCTGGGCTACATAGTGAGTTCAAGTCCAGCCTGAACTACACAGTGAGACCCTGCCTCAAAACAAATAAACAAAACTAAACAAAATAAAAAACATAGAAACAAAAATTAGACACTTCAGAGAGTTACTAAATGTAACATGGTGTTCCAGATTGGCCCTTGGAACAGGTGAAAAAAATATTAATGTAAGAATACAAATAAAGTCTTTAGAATTTAATAGTATTGTATTATAGCAATGTTAATTTGTTTGTAGATATATCATGGTTTTGTTTTTTGCTTTTGTTTTTCTTTTTTTGTACCAGGGATCTAACTCAGAACCTTGTGCTTGTGAGGCAGGCAGTGAACCACTGAACTAAATCCCTGGTCCCTATACTATGTTTTTTTAAGATGGTAACATTAGAGGAAGATGGATAAAATGTTTACAGTAATATTCTATACTATCTTTGGAACTGTTCTATAAATAAAAAATGATTTCATATAAAATTGAGTGACATATTACAGATAAGTCTCATTTATATTTGAAAAAAGACAACTGTATACCCAAGACTTGCATGTATGAACTATGGTGTATATAAGAGCACATGGGATGAAATGGTTTATAATATCTAGGAACTCAACCTTTGGGGAGAGATAAAACATGTAGATGAAACAATTAGAGAAAAAAATTACAGAATTTATCAGATCATTAAATTGTGGAGTAAAGATACTAAAAGCCATAACAGAGAAATTTCTGTTGGCCTAAGAATTATGAAAGAGGTGGCCCTAAGAAAAGTATTTAGGAACTGGCATAAAGAATAACAACAACTAATATGGTAGGAGAGTTTTAAGGGTTATGATAAGTTTTCACAACATTCAACATCACTCTGAACAAAAAAACAAACCAAAAAAAGCCAGGTGTGGTGGTACACGCCTATGATTCCAGCACTCGGGAGGCTGAGGCAGGAGGATCACTGT